AAAGCCTCGCATTCATGAGCCACAAAAGGCGAAAGCGTGAAAGCCCGCACAAAGACTTGTCTCAAGAGCTCTAAAAACCTCACAAAAAATACTTGAACGTGTTTAAACATGTGTAGACTTTAGACATGTTAGACTCTGTTAGACATGGTCTTGCTTCATTTTGGGACGTGTTAGACAATATTACATTCGACAGATTTTAGCACAAGAGAGGCCCATAGGAATGTATGTTGTTCGAGGCAACGTTCCGACAAAGTCTTTGCTGCTCTTCCAAAGGCCAATTCTACAGGAGGAGTGCCCGTAGCTCCCTGCAGTGGAAGCTTGCCAACAATCTGATCGTGTCTCTACTATAATCAGCAAGCGTTCAAACTAATGCACTAATTTACAAACCGCATCTGATTGCAACATACCACAAACACGAAGGCCATCAAAAGCCCAAAGAGCTTGTTAAACACGTGTTCAGCACATGAAATCTACCTCTCAAGCTGTGCACTTCGTGCCCAAAAGTTACGGGAAGCACTTTGCTTTAAGCTTGGCTACCAAACGGACGCATTTTTCACTTACACTGCTGGCGGTGCATCATGTTCTTCCAATGAGTGCAGCTCTTGAAATAGTCTGATTTGCTATTTCATTAAACCAACAGTTTTATGCCGACACTGCTAAGGTGGTACATTTTGATCGCTGGTGGGCTGGTACATTTTCACCACTCGCGTTGTCAGCATAGGTTCGTACAGCTGATGGGGCGCCGCAGGTGCGGTGGTAGGTTTGAGGTGGTACTCTTCACAGTTGGTAAGTTGGTGCGGTGGTCGGCGTATCACTGGTGAGGTGTTGCAAATCTTTGCTTTTACCGGTGGCGGGTCAACCCTTTGGCAGCCACCTCTTGCTTGATGGGCGATATTGTACGCAGCGTAATTCGCCGCTTTGGAGGACTGAAATCCATACGACCCATACCAACAACTGAATATTGGTTGGATCTCTCGCGGTCGCGTGTCACCACAGGTGATCAAAGCGTCGGAGCACTCAAAGCAACGTCGTGGTTCAACCGGTCCAGGTCCAAACAATACCTGGTATTGTGCAATGATGATAAAACTGAATGAGTGAAAACATGTAAGCCTTAGTAAGCACGTATAAGCACCGATACGTGTATATTCTAATGGTTCTAAGGAAGATCCGGCGGTTGTTTGTGCTTTCTTTGATTGGTGCCGAATACAAACAGAAACTAGCCAAAGAAATTGTATCTTTTCTATAGAACGAGTGCCAACATGCGGCAACCATGGATATCTTCCTCAATGGCAGCTTGCCAGAAGTGAGCCCAGTGCATGACAATGAACACCCGTGATCAAACATCTTGTATTTCCCTTTCCTGCAATTAATTGTCAAATTATTGATCGTTCACTGAGCTCTATCCACCATCAATCTCAATCTCATAACATGAAAGACGAGGATGAGATTGATCCTTCTTTCCTGCTGTTGGTACTACACCGCCAGTCCAAGAGCAGGGGGCCGCTTGACAGGCTTTGTTTTGGCATGTACGTAGTTGCGATGGCAGAGGTGGATGCGGGCAAAAGAAAAGAAATTGTATGTAAACAGTGGACTGCAGATATAATTTTTGCAAATGCATTGCTGCATTGCACATCCTCACACCGAAGCAAAAGGAAAAAACAACTTCCTTTCTTATCCTCACATCTCCTGACATTTTCCTTTTCTTCCTTTTGGTCCCGATGATTCTCGATATCCGCCTCTGAGATGATGTCGCTTAGTTCACCTCTCATCTCACCAGCTCCGTGCAAATAGAGCAGCAAGGGATACTTGGTCTCCTTGGTTTCGATGTTGTCTGTGGGCATTCGCTTTCTGTTGAGCTGATTGTGCTCTGGCGGGAGAAATACCATGGCCTGCTCTTGTTAACTGCAATAAAATGTGAAATGAAACAACATTCAACCGCCTCGTAGCTATCTGGATCTTTCAAAGTCCAACTGCTGGAAGACATGTTGACCTGTGCGTCTGAAGATACCTGAGTGTCACAGTTTTCTACGAAACCTTCACTGTTTGACCAAGGTCAAAAATGTAATCTTAGATAATCTCAGCATATCTCAAAAAACTCTGTGCAATAGGATTGTGTACCACATGTACTGTTTATTACAAATTCTCAATGGTAGGTTACTCCGGGCCTCATGTCGTGACACCATTCACCATTCCAGGTAAGTTGCGGTGGAACGTATGGTTTCTCTGCCCAAAACCCCTCCACAAGCTGCAAGAAGCAGTGTTCCAAAAACAAAGGCCTGGTTCGGATTGCTGGCTTTGACGCACTTTCCGTGCCGTGGCATTGTGGGAACAGGATGGAGAGGATTATGGCTGCGGCCTCCCTCGAAGAAACATTAGGAAACTCTTGACTCTTGACAGTGTCGGAAGGTCTCGCCACGCATCTTCTCGCTTCTATTGGATGGATCTTGGCTAGGCAAAAAAAGGGCAGAGTTCTTCAGAAGTGTGGAGTCAAGCCTGCACATGTTTGTGTGTAAAGCCCTTGGATTCAGAGGGGACCGAGTCTTTTCCTTTTTGACTTGGATTTTTAGCAGGGGTGTGCAGAATTTGTGATCTAGTGCGCGCAACGAAGCTATGATCACAGATCAAGGACGCTTTATCCTCTACCTGCTTGGGAACACACTGACTCCAATGGTTCTCCCTTGCCCAGGCTGTTTCCAGGTACACCAGGTCGACACAAAGTGCTAATGAACTCGGCAGACTTGCAGGAACTCATGTTGTGAGATGCCTCTCCACCTAGCACTTACTACTTTCAGGTCTCTTTGGACTCTTAGGACTTCTACTTAAGCTGGCGCGTGGGAAACCGCAATCAGTTCTGTACACAATATCTCAAGTGTGTGTCACTGGAAACAGGAGACTCACTGACTTTCCGGGATACTTCCTCTGATTGACACATAATTCATTGCAGTGAGACCACAGAAAGGGGGTAGTGCACGACTGACAGGCACTACCCAACGAAGATGCTGTCAGCTCGTGTTGAAGCAATGTGGAACGCCACCTTGTGCATCTGCTGTATGAAAAGATGAGTTTAACAATACTGTTCCGGGCTTTTTCGGGTTGCGGTTTGCACATGGCCGTTGACAGGTCCAGCACAGGTCGTTTTGCACTAATGCAGTAACTAGATATGCCCTCTTGGTGCCACCCGGAACTTATGCTCTTACGAACTCCTTCCCAAGTGTGAGTCGCAGCATTTTCCCACTGCGGTATGTTGCGTGATCCCTCGTTGTTTTGCAGAATCCACTCCGTCGCAAGGAGAGAACGATACGTTTCACCATTGCACTTCTGATTTATACAGAGCTTATTGGTTACATCCCGCATTGCAGCTGCAGAGCTCACTGTCATTTCATTCTTGACATTTCCCTGTTTTCCAATTGAAGTTTTAATTCCACATTGTTTTCCATTTTGAGCCGAAATGTTCTCTCACAAGTTTTGACAGCATTCACCCTGCCTTTCTAGCTCTTACCACCCTGCCTTTCTAGCCCTCACCAAGTCTGCGTTTCTCACGTTGATTCGCTCCGGAGTACTGTTCGCTGCCATGACCTTTGCTTGGCCACAACATCCGGCTTATTTTACGCATTATGCCCAGACCAGCCCTGCGCCGCATCACCCAGTTTCTCAACCGATGATTGGCACCACGCAACACTTTTTCCCACTCAACACATCCTCCGCCTCGCTGTCCATTACTTCCCCCACTACCAGTCCACAATGCCATCCCACCTGTCGACTCTTCCACTCCTGCACCACAACTCTCATCCTCCAGCACACCCTTGACTCCTGCATCTTCACAGCCTGTGCTAGCACTTACAAGCAGATCAGGGGCGCCGGGATAGGCTCACAACTATCCCTGGCACTATGCAATGTAGCCACCGCATTGATTGAGCACATATGGCAAGAAGTACATCAAACATTTCTTCAACAACCTCATTTAGCTTTCTCTCCGCCCGCTACATTTACAATCAATCAGTTCATCCTTACCAACGAACTCTGTGCAACACACATCGCCCTCTTGCCACAATTGCTACCCCCACCCTTTACGAACACCCCTTGAACACGTTGACGATGACCATCTCCCTGGGACCATCCGCAACTACACCTACCCAACCTCCAACATCCTGTTCAGGGAGAACTCCCTCATTGACCTGTATGTAGCTCACCTCAGCAACGTCACGCCGCACAGCGAATAAAATTCGCGCGTTGCATGTTTCACATATTCTGCATGCACTCCCTGTAGGGCACGGTGCGTCACTATTTTCTTCTCTCCCGTTTTTGGACCTTCTTCTTCCCACCGAGCGCCGATAAGGCTATGGCTATGTGTGTGTGTGTGTCACGCCCCGTGTCCAGGAGACTCACTGACTTTCCGGGATACTTCCTCTGATTGACACATAATTCATTGCAGTGAGACCACAGAAAGGGGGTAGTGCACGACTGACAGGCACTACCCAACGAAGATGCTGTCAGCTCGTGTTGAAGCAATGTGGAACGCCACCTTGTGCATCTGCTGTATGAAAAGATGAGTTTAACAATACTGTTCCGGGCTTTTTCGGGTTGCGGTTTGCACATGGCCGTTGACAGGTCCAGGACAGGTCGTTTTGCACTAATGCAGTAACTAGATCGTAAAGTGTTAATGCCCTCTTGGTGCCACCCGGAACTTACTGTATGCTCTTACAAGCTCCTTCCCAGGTGTGTCTGTGTCATTTCTGTTCCCATCCTCAGCTCCCTGCTGCAAACAGAAGCGGCAACCGTTGCAGCATAGGCATTGCTACATTGCCAAAGTAGCACGTTGCCCACAATCTTGAAAGAGAAATTGTTGTTTCCATGTTGTCCTACGATTGGATGCCTGGACACGCAAGCTCCTTTGTCAACTGTATCTGGTGAACCAAATACTGCGCAAACGAACAGCACCGCATCAAGTCTTTAACATTGACAAACATAAGAAAAACCAGCCCATCAAGCACGAACAGGACCTCCATGCTGTGTGCGCGCGCCAACATGGCATAGCGGCATGGCGCAAACAAAGCATTTGCAAGCCCTTCCCCGCAAAATGAATACAGTATTTATATAGTGCAATGTAGTCTAGTGCAATAGCAACGAGTCTCGACTACTAGTTGTGTTTCTTCGCCAGTACTGTCTTATGTTGCTGTGTCACTACCTTGCCTGGGTCAACACCAACTTCTAGATTCTAGACTGAGCCGCAATAAATTGTCCTGCGTCAAAGACTTCAAACACAACAGAGCTTATCATATCGCAATGTGGGGAGGATTGGCACTTCAACAAGTTCCACGAGAGGAAGTTGTCCCCGCAACTCCTCCAGAGAATGCTGAGACAAATCTGTAAACATTGAAGAACACACAAACAAGACAAACACATTGTAGAAAGTGTGTGAAAGCCTGTAACCTCTGGCTCCTGCGAGGCTGGGCTTCGCATGACAATCTCAACAATCACCTTCAAGCACTCCTGGAAAGGAAAATGGCCGGCGTAGCACGGTGAGAGTGTAAATCTGTGTGAGTCCTCGAGAAAATTTCCATTGTGCCTACCTCAAAGCAACAACAGCCTCTGAAGTTCTTCGGTTTGCTCACAATTACATCGGAATGGACCCCAAAGGCTAACGAAATCTGCCTGCTCCCTGCTTGATGATTGTTGTCCGCAGGCATGCCTGATTAGGATCCACCGACCGACTTCGCTCCGACAAGCCTGATTCAAAGGACCCCAACTTGTACGGCGCTTGATTCCAAAAAGAGGCGGTAGATACGGTCCGCCCGAGTGTCTTCCAGCAGGTCCTGCCGTCAGCAATGAATTTGTGCAAGTCAATTCAGAAAAACAGGACGAGGGGGTTGAGCTAAAAAGGATTAAAAAGGTTTCAAGCAAACATGTATGCAAGTTGACACAAGTCATGCAAAGGATCTTCTCCGAAACTCTCTCCTTGGATGCCAGCATTGACACCACTTTGTACAAGTGAATTCCGTCAAACTCAGGACCTTGGTGATCTGAAATCCGGACTTTACCAACACGAGGTTTTGTGATGTCAATTGCTATCTTCTTTTAAAGGACGGGGGGGTAGGCCGTGAGCAGAGGTAGGTAGTAGCTAGCTAGATAGGTAGCTAGTAGTAATAGCTAGGTAGCTACGAACTGCTGGACGCAGGATAGCTCACGCTTCCTTGAAGAAGCGCTCACACTAATGTTTTGGTTCCTAGACTTTTAGGGAAACTTAAGGTTGTTGGAGGCCATCGCTACAAGTTACAGTGCAGTGTATACACCTGCAGGGACACGAACATGTAGCGCATGTGGCATGTGTTGCTTCTTCACACAACGGAAGAGCAAAAAGGACCTTTGGAACAATACTCGAATCTTGACGTGGCAACACAATGGTAGGCAGGTTGCATACCAGCCCGTGGTTGAAGCTTAGCGATGCAAAAGGGACACAATGAACCTTCAAGCCCTGGCCCTTTTCAGCTAGTGACAGTCTAACACATACTGTAGTAGTGCCTTCGTAGATGAGTTCCCAATTCAATGTAACGGAGACTCTGGTGGCGAAGGACCAAATGCTGACGTTCGTAGCTCACAGACACCTTGTCATGCCGTGAAGGTGCTCTTTTCAAGCAGAACAGGAGTCGGAGAGTGTGGAAGGATCGCTATAGCGCCCTTCAGGGGTCTGTGTGTGGCAACGGCACCATGAGTTGCTGTTGACCAGTGAAAGGTGCGGCTCTCTGGCATTGACAAGAACGGCAACGGTTGAACCAGTATCAAAAGCAGCTGCCAAAGGCTATCTATAGTCTATCAACAGATTAAATACTAGATTACTAGATCCTATAGATGCCAGCATTTGAACAAGTAGACTAAATAGTCGCCTCTATAGCCTTGACTATACTGCACTACACAAACGAACACCACACACGACCAACTCCCCTTCAAATTAACTGTTGAAAGCTCCAGTACATCTTAGGACCCTATGTCGCTGTTTGCGGACTGGTCTGAAGGCAATGATGGCAAACATGTTCCCATGGCGCATTGTGGGGCCAAGGCTGTCCAACATTTCTTTGAAGAGCGTTGCATTCTGTAGGATCTGCCAAAGGCACCAACTCTGCTTCAACACACCCCATGTCACAAATACATTCGCACACTTCTGTTACGCTCCGTACGCAAGTCCCTTCAGAAATGCCTGGTCTGTATCCATCGCAGTGAGACGGTTGACCTGACAAATGTTGGCGATGCGCTTCACCCTGAAGCAACACTTAAGAACCAAAATGAAACAAGGTTCTTGGGAATCGTTTCACCTGTAGTAACAAGAAGCTATTAGGTGGAGGCCATCGCTATTAGGTTGGAGGGCGTATCGCTTGTCATTGCTTGCCTTTCACTTGGCTCATTGTCTCCAATGCCTGGTCTTTCATCGTCTCCTTCTTCACATCCTTGACGCCAATGCGCCGACGGCCGGCACTGCTCCGCCAAGCCCCCTTTCGTTCCTGCACCCGTGAAAGCAAGGGGACTTCGCCATGCTAATGGCAAGCAGTGGAGACGGGCAAAAAATCATGCCAATCCACCGGCATCCACCGGCCCTATACGACGAGTGCAAGGCAGGACGAGACGCCGAATCAGCTATGGGCTATGACATGCACCATCATTCACCATTGCTTCCCTCTGTGGCGAACGCAAGCCCCATCATGTTGAAGCAAGTTGGCTCTAACATCTCTAACTGTCCACAGTCCATAACCCACGCGACCCTTTGAGGACTGACCCAAACTGGACAGGGTTGAGGTGTAGGGAACGAGGCCAGGCAGTTTCACAGTAGCTGCGCCTTTGTGCTCGCCTGGGATGAAATATTGACAAGATGCTGAGAAGGGCAACGCATAGATTTGTCAGGCTGGTGGCTTTGAGCTTGTTTACTGTGAAAGCAAGGGAACTCAAGCTGACTCAAAAACCTTTTCGTTGATTCAACATGGTTGCATAAATGGATCCTGAAACTCGCCGGCTCTTCTGTTCGAAAGGGCTTCCTTGATGTGCTTTGGTGTATCAATTTTCACTGTCTTCTTGCTTGATTGAGTACTCATAAAACACGCGGCCCAGCAGCGCCGGTGAGCAGTGCCGACTCGCATCCTTTATATAGCTGTGACGGTAGTGTTTGCAGTGGGATCAAGGAAATCCAGTGCAATATTTGCTCTGACGCATTGCGCTTTGAAGGTCGCTTGAGACAACAAAGTATTGCTAGGGCCCACGCGCCTAAAAAGGTCAACACCCCACTTGGAAGTATCCTTTTCGATCGTTGCTCCCAGATTGTTGACCTCTCTTAAACTGCAGTTCCGAAGTTGCCTGCTTTGGCACGCAGGGTATTGTGTAAGTGTAAGTTCTTTCAACATCATGAAGACTTTGAGTCTGAATCCCACTGCTCGAGTAAACCTTCATCACCGCAGCTGCGCATGGCTTTCCAGTGTGGTCCTGTACGCAGCGATGGTCGCACATCATGTGTCTCATCATTTCTCACTGTTTGATTGGAAATGACGCCACTATGGACCGGGGCTTCCCTCCCACAAGTTTACACCCCTCCTTGGACATCACAAAGGAGACTTCGTCTTCCAAGTTGATGTAGAATTTCTTGAACCCGTTTGCATTCCTAGGAAAAGCTTGATCATGACTCCAAATGCTCAGGACACCACTGACGATCCATGCCTCGTGTTTGCAAGCACAATTTCCAGACCTCGACAGAATGATCAACCAAAGCAACCAGGGTAGTTGCTTCATTCTAAGTATTTGGCACTCCGTTGATGGACTGCCTGGGTCGAGGGAGTTCATGCCTAGCAAACATAGACAGCAAGGATTTGGTCCTGACTCGGCGCCAAGGAGTCGCCACTTGACTCAAATAGAAGCCAACAGCTAGGTGATGAAGTATCAGTCAGTACCAAACCACTGGCATGATTCCAAAAACCTGCATTGACTTCGCGCCTATCACATCTGCAGCTCTGAAGAAAATGTCTTGTGCATCGGCATCACCAAGCTGCTTCAAGAAGCCGAAACCACCGTAGACGTTCACAATACGGCCCCTGGTTCACAATCGAACAACATCTCTGCTGGCAAGCTAACATGTCAGCTCTTGTCTTGACAACATGCTTCTCATATGAAAGAAAGGATGCTTGTTGTACGATATGAATGTAGTTATGAAACCAAATGCATTGACAGTGTCAGAGTCTACTGGAACTTTTCAATGCCTTTGAAGACTGAACAAAAGACTGGGAACGAGACCACAGGCAACTCTCTTGATCTTGTGGAAGTTCCTGAGGATACAGCAGCGCCCAAAAAAATAGTCCAGGAACCAAAGCAACACAACTCGAAAAAATATCTCACCGAGCGCCCCTCCTCTGGCAGTTCCTGCACACAAGTTTAGCAGGTCTCTTTTCTACTACACTCACACAGGCTCTGTCAATGCCTCTTTAGGCTCTTTCGGCTTTGCTGCACCTTCATGAGGCAACAAAACATGCTATATACATATTATAGACTCTACCACGCCCAAATCAAGCTCGTCTGGGACGCCTGAAACTGTTGGTGCTAGTGAGCCTCCCGGTCTCAGTGACCTGGAGTGTGCACTGGCTAAGGCGAGAGCAACACCTTGACAACTCCTAGCTTGGGGCAGCCACACTGGGGCACTTAGTTTGCCAGCTCCAAGTCGGGAGCTTGGACCTGGCACGCGGCATGTGGAAAAACATCTCCGTGAACTGCAAAGGAAAAACATCCGCCTTTGTAAAAGAACTTCTTTTCTTCCCCATTCGAAAGAACACATGTTGCGGGCGACACAAATCAGACATTTTTTCCAAACGCAAATCCATATATACAAACAAATTCACACCATTGGTTTGTTCCCAACGGTGTGGTATTCCACACTCCATTAAAAAGACACAAAATCGGTGCGAAATGTACAATTTTGTTGACCTGAGGCTCAACTGCAGGTGAAATATCAGGGAGGAGCGGCGGTGATAGTCCCTATGTGCCAAGGAGGCCAAAACTTGAAGGTGGCTCGTCCTTGGCAACAAAGGAGGAGGAAGAACGTGGCACATCGAGAACACACACACACAATTGTACTAGTTAGGAGCATGGCCAATGATATTCTCGAGGGGCAGGAACCCCCACACATGACCATCCAAGGACTGATTCCTGCAGGCATCATGAATCATGTTCAAAGTTCAGACAATGACAAGCAAACTCTGTTCACTAGATTGTCCACGTCAAATCTCAAAAACCCAAAGTCGGTGGGCGCTGTGAGAAGCCCGAGTGAACATACACACACACATGGTGGGCCAGCAATGAGCAAAGGCCAAAGTCACAAACATATACTGAATGTACACATTTAGAGTTTAATTCTTTACAATTTGGGTAAATACCCAGGTATTACCGTTCTATAAGTATATAGTTATATAATAACTATATTATAAATCAGCGACCCCCTGGTTCAAACTCTATAGGATCAAGGTCGCCAGGTTCCAAATAAAGGAAAATCAAATCTCTATAGAATCAAGGTTCCAGGTTGCCATGGCACTTGTCCAAAAATGCATGCTAGAAAGTAGTTTCTCTATAGAATCAGCGATTTTTTGCTGTAGATCCTAACAAAATCCATCCATCCATCCATCCATCCATCTCCGATCAACTTTGTGATGACATCTCCGATGACATGGGAAACGCCCGATGAAGTTCTGCGATGAGTTTTGTTTACAATCTTATGTCTCACCGGAATATGTTCAGATCGCATCTGATCGGATGGACCATATTCCCAGGACACCTCACCCGATCGCAACAAAAATCGGTGGGCAAACTCAACTCGTCGGAGAAAGCAATCGGAGAATATCGGTTTCAGAAATTTCAACCGGATTGAATGCAATCAGAACATTTTGCAGTGAGATCCGGTTTGAACACTCTCATGGGAGAACACAATCGGAAGGTTGGCCGCCCTTGGAATGTAGGCGCATACCCGGGGAGGCCATTGTATAATGAATGGCAACCCTGCTCGAGGTCTCCATGTTGTTTTGACCTCTTGAACGTGAAGAAACTTGGGAAGAGTGAAGATTTCACAGGAAATTAGGCAAGGGTAAGGACTTTTAAGGGTGAGGGTGTGGGGAGAGATCTTTGAACGTGAGGGTCTTGATTCTACAGGGGAGAGGCGCTGGTTCACCGCGGGCTGAAGATTTTTGGTGATTCTATAGTGGAGAATAGTGGAGAGGTTTAGCAGACTTCTGGTCAGACTGGCCAGGTGATTAGGATGAGGGTGTGGGATGAGATGATTGAAAAGTCTTGATTCTGTGGAGAAGTGCTAGTTCTCGGTGTAGTAGTGGTCGGAAGTGGATATAGGTATAGAGTCTCGAACTCAAGTTTGTTGATTCACACGCCCAAAGGATCCTAAAGGATTGTTTGCTTGCTGAATATACTTGTATAAGTCGCATGGGTTTGCTTGAATGCATTTTATTTCGACCGGGTCAGCAAACCGCTGCAAAAATTGCGGCGCTAAGACTGCGTCGACTTTAACAGTCGTTCGTTGGCTTGGGTCACTTCCCCACCCGTCCGTTGGAAGAGATTGTTGTGGCTGGTGCGTTGCTGTACTTCAGCTTTTCTGTCGTTCCATCATTCACAATGATGTCCTCATCCAAATGCACCGATTCCACCTCCATGCCTTCACCTTGGGAAGCTTCTTCGAGGTCAATCAAACTGATTTCTTGTTGTTCGAGGAATGGGGCTGCCAGTCGAGTTGTCGTGAAAATTATTTTCCCCTATGGCAGCTCCCAAGCACTTGAGAAACCGCTTGGATGTCAAACGCGGAACTGCAGAACTGTTCGACGACGCGTAGACGGAGCGCCCCGCTCCCATACTGCAAGGCACTCGCCTCATCAGGCGGCTCTACCACCGTCGTCTCGCCTCGCTGTCCATGTGCTCACCCCTCGCCTTCCAACTCCTGATTCCTTGAGGGCTTCCGCTAGGGGCTGGCTCACTTCCTTCAAGTAAATGGTATCGCCAGTCCAGGCATGTCCTCCCCACTTCCAACACTCATCTCTTCATCATCCTTCACCGCCCGGGTGGTCCGCGTTTCAGATTTCTAGCTAGCATTCCGTCAACGTCCATCCGGCCACCAACGCCAGCAGCTCGTTTCTCGTGACCGCAGACCTCATTCCCCACCGGTTCACACAGATAGGACACATGGGGCTTGCCATCTGGGGCCCTGGGGTGGATGGGGCCCAGAATACTATTCTACTTATTCAGTGGTGGTGGACCTACACCTGGCCAAAATTAATCCATATGTGAACGCCTTTCAGGAATAATTTACAACATGTTACAGCCATGTCTGCCTTGCAGTCTATATGTGATCTTACATGCGTTCCAAAACACAGGTTCAGTTTCACTACAGTGATCTTCTGCGTTTTGATTCCTCCTCGTTTCCGGTCGCATCAAATGATCCAACACGCGGCAAAACGGCTGAACTTTTCAGATCAGCGACCCCCCACGTGACTTCCAGGACGGCGAAACTTGGGAGTAGACACAGGGCAGGAACCGTCAGATCAGGGGGGCCAGGTCATAGGCGACCCGACCAAATCTTTGTTGTGGACTCCGAAAACTGGTCTCACGAGAAAAGAGAGCTGTCAGATCAGAAACCAAACTTGGGAACTGTCAGATCAGGGCTCCTAGGTCATAGGCGCCCCAGCCACATCTTTCTTGTGGACTCTGAAGCTGTGAGACGTGTGACCTGAAGCTGTAGATTGTGCAAGATATGTGCCCCAAAATGGGAAGTTTGCCTCCTGTTGTAGGCCACTGTTCAGTAGACAGCCAACTGCTAAATTATTCCAGGGTCTATCACATCAAGCCCACCCCTGGAATTATTTCAGTCCACGCAGCAAGCAATGAGAGCCACCGACGACAAAAACAATCCCAGCGCTGGGTTTGATGTGATCGACCCTGGAATACTTTAGCAGCTAGCTGTCTAGAAGGCAAACTTGCCCTGTTGGGGCACAAATCTTAGAGCTTCCACAAATCTGCAGCTTCAGGTCACACATCTCACATCATCTCACAGCTTCAGAATCCACAACCACGGTGTTTTTTAGGGCCCCTATGACCCAGGACCTGTGACCTGACAGTTTCTTATTCCCTGGTCTGGGGTCTACTCCCGAGTTTTGGTGAGACCAGTTGAGGAATGTAGTGCCGAATTTGGTGTGGCTTCTTTCATTGACTAAAATAATTCCAGGGGTGGGTTTGATGTAATAGACCCTGGAATAATTTAGCAATTGGCTGTCTACTGGGAGCCCTGATCTGACAGTTCCCAAGCTTGGTTTCTGGGTCTGGCTTCTGGCGTGAACTCGCCGTCCTGGAAGTCACAGGCTTCTAGACAGCAGATTTAAGTGCCGCCCTTCGATGTGATCACCCCTACACAATGGGGAGCATTTGGCCCGAGACGGCCCGAGCCACTTTGTTCGCAGTTCCACAGATCTGACAGCTCTCCAAAGCGCCTCGAAAATTCCAGTCTAAAATCATCAAAGGCACATCCCTCCACATGACATTGTGTCGGTGGGTCTCCCCATGCCACCGATGCCATGCTGTAGGAGAGGTACCCCTATGATTGTAAGTTTTGAACTTGAGCCAGCTGCCATGGTGAGATATGGTGAGCATGCAATGTGACTGTCTGTTATAATGTCCAGCATGTTATTCCAGGGTACTATCCACCCACACCAACTTCAACATGGTGTCCAGCAAAGGAATTCCGACCATGTTATTCCAGGGTGCCATCCACCCACACCAACTTCAACATGGTGGTTTAAATATTATTCCAAAAAACATATTCTGAAAAATTATTCTGTGGGTGATTTACGACGGGAGGGCCCATTAGGACACCTTCTCATCCTCCTGTTGATGTAGAAGGGGCTTTTGCTCGAATCTGGGTGGGTGATGAACACGAAGTTCAGCTTGGTGTTGGTAGTTGTTTTTGAAGCCGGCGTCCTTTTCTTCTTTGCTTTTGTTTCTTGGACGACTGTTGGGACCAGTTTGCGGAACTTCTTCAACCACGAGTCGCCGAACCAACATCGTCATGATTCTGATTGACCGTGCTTCGTGTCTGCTTCCAAGTCTGTTCTTCACTTTCTTCTTCCGTCCAATGCTCAACTTCTGCAAAGAACACGTCGAAGTCCTTCCTCCTCAGGCTCATAGTCCTCTTCCTCGAGCCCCTGGTAATCTTTCTCCACATGGTAGGCTGTCGCCTGCTTCGCCGGCGTGAGGGAGGGTGGCAGCTATATGCCCCTTTCCATCCGGTTCCTGATATGACTGACAAGCTGCAGCCATGACTACCGCTTTGCGGGCGAGCCAAAGTAGCCCTTGACAACATGCGGCAGCACCACACCTTCTGCCTCTGCAGAATCAGCCAAGTCCCGCCAAACTTTTCCCATCTATATAAGTGACGCCCTCGCCGTCACCCTTCTCGATGCGCATGTCGAAGACCTGATCCAGCACTCGCCCCAGACGTTCATAGGTAGCTTGAGAGAGCTTCTCATCCAAAGTCTGGGATATCACATTCCCCACCAAGCCCCTCAATCAACCATGCCAGTCGAGTCCAAAGCCCGGCAAGGCCTTCAATCTAGCAAAGAAAATACCGCCGCCCAAGCCCTTTGCCTTTTGTGCGTTGAGGTATGCCCTGCGCGAGCGGCACCATCGCTCGT